ACCCAGCGATCAAAATCAGGTGTGTTGGAGCAAGAAAACCTCTAAAACATGCAGGATAGCGGCCCTCGAGGACAGGAGTTTGACACCCCTGTTTTAGATCAAACAAATTTCCTGAGTCATGTTCACCTTATTGTGTGGTCTCTCCCATATAAACACAGAGGGGTTGTTTCTCCTTAAACAGAAGAACCTGTGATAATCCCTTATAACAGTTCATTATAAGAAGTTTCAATCACTACAATACATACACACATAATACACACAACACATGAATCCCATTTAACATGTCTGAAAAGGGGCAGGAATAAGTAAAACTCATTTAACCCTACCCCTTCTCCAATACTCCATAATTACACGTCACATTCATCTTGTTTTCAGAGTCTTATTAGTTGATGATAAAATTGCTATAAAGCCTAAAATTATTACAGCACCCTCAAAGTTCATATTTGTATTTAATTTATATTTATGTACCAAATCATGTCAGTAGGGGGCAAAGTTGTGTCATTTAAACAAATAAAGTTCTTTTAACATTTCTCATAGTAGAATTGATTGTTGTTGATCATGAAGAGCTCTGACAGATCAGATGAAGTGACAGTATCAGAGCTAAACTCACCAGAAATGGTTTAAATGGAGGCTCAACTTTACGAGCGAGAAGGTCATCCCAGTTTATATACCGGAAAAATGGTTCAGCCTAAAAGAAACATCACAGAAAGATTTAAAACACACTGCACACAAAGATGTTCACACTCATATGTATTCTGATTTTAATGTCAGTGATGAGTGTTTACCTGGACCTCAGCAGCATCTCCTGGTCCAGCCCCGAGTCGTAATGAGGCACTTCGTTTAAGCAGCTGCGCAAAGAAAAATACAGCGTTCAGTTTTCATCCTGCCTGATGAGTCAGCAGAGTCCAGTGAAACACTTATTCATGCTTTCTGTCTCAAACCTGCCTAAATTACATCATCCTCAGGCCCAGGCCTCCCTTGAAAAAGAGATCTGTGATCTCAATGAGAGCTGCCTGGTTAAACAAGAGTCAAATATAATAAATCTTATTGGTCAGCTAAAGTCTGCCAGCAGACAAGCAGGTGCAGCTCAGAGTTTTGAGACTGTGTGACTGAGCTCACCTCTTTCATCTAAAATAATGGTGCCAAAAATACAACAATCAAAAAGGACTTGCAGGTCAAAGGACGAGCAGAGGAGACTTGCTCCTGTCAACATTTGGGTAATTTATCACTCAGAGCCCACAAATACTAGGCCTGTGTATTGGTAAGAAGTTGGTAATACGATACATATCATGACAGAGGGGTCACGATACGATATATCCTGATATATTGCGATACTGTAAGCAAGGCGATATATTGTGATTTTTTGTCCAAAAATTCTATTAAATAAAAACCTCTTACAGGGAAAAAATGAAAAACCAAATTTCATCGTCTCAGAAAATTCTAATA